TGAGATGAAGGAATTTAATTTTGGCTTAGTTGCCAGAAAGATACATACAACTGTTAGCATCTGTACATTATGGCAGTATGCAAAATCCAATAAATACTTAAACAAAAGTAATGTAAGAAGTTATATGAGGAGAGGCTAACTAGCTAACAATGTAGCTTTCAAGTACACAGTTCAAGATAACAACAATATAACTTAAAACACAGCCTTATTTTAGAAACTCTCAAAAACATTTGAACACATTTTACTTACTCATTGTAGATTCTTATTTAAAGCTTAAAACATATCAGACTCTACATCTGAATTGATGGACAGAGAATAGAGCGCACTCAGCAGTAAACAAATCAAACACCTGGCTCCCTTAAAGGGCCAGCATTTTCTGAAAACTATTTCTAACACCTTTGTGTTTAGAATAAGACAGACAGCCTGTGGGAGTGTATGGTGATGCCTAAATCATTATTTTCTGCCTTTAAAATGCACGTCTATATAAATAGCAACATAAACCTTCAGGGAATTTATTGGAATTAATTCTTTGCACTACACAATTTCATACAAAGTCTACTCCTTTCACAGTAAAATAATGTGTTAATAAATAATAAATGTTTTCTTTTATTACAGCAAAACACTGGCTATTTTTCAGTTATTTACTGCACAATCTACAGAGTAACAGTGCAGTTATACTAATTAAACACACCTGATCAAACTAAATCTAAAGGTAGTGTGTTGAAGAAGGGCTGGAACTAAATTCTACTAGGCTGCGGCCCTCCAGGAGTTTGACATCCTTGGTACATAGCATATTTTCAAAGGAATTGCCTACATTTATCACAATCATGCACATATCATTGAATAAAAACAATAATATAAAAACAATATACAAGCGTCATCCAAAGCAAAAAAATAAAAAATAAATAAATATTCTGATCCTCATGTTGTTCCAAACCTGTAGTAATAATAATAATAAAAAACAAATAACCTGATTAATACATTTATTTAGGAAAGTCTTTATACTATACTGTTAATGCCATTTTTACCTACTTCATTTGAAGTTTTCCAAACAAATTCATTGAGTCTCTGCGAAAATGTTTGTACGTGCTGTTTAACATATTTTTTAAATAACACATTTTTACTAGTTAATTAGCAAAATACTAATATTCAGCTTAAAGTGCAATTTAAAAGCTTAACTATTGGCTAAACTAGGCAAATTAAATTAATTATAGAATAGTAAACAAAGTTATAAAAATGATTGTGATAATTTGGTTGCTCTGTGTGAATATTTTTGCCTTTAAATGCATCTCGTCGATATCTTTACCTTTTAATTAGCTCTGTGACATTGACATTGGTTGACTCCTGATACTCAATGTTAAAAACATAAAAGGAACCAAAGAAAACACAGAAATGGCTGCAGAGAAATTTAGCTTATCATCAATGCATCGTCTCACTTTCTCCTCAATACTGACCATACACATACCAAAACTGAACAGTATCTATATATATATATATATATATATATATATATATATATATATATATATATATATATATATATATATATAGCAACATAAAGCAGTACATGGGGTAATAATGGTTGAGCAGTAATTTACCATTTATTATCACAGTAACTATCTGTAATGGGTACATAAAGTAAATTACTGTAATTTATTCTTTGCACTACAAAATTTCATACAAATCCTGCTCCTTTTACAGTAAAATACTGTTTCCTTTTAATACAGCAAAACACTGGCTATTTTACAGTTATTTACTGCATAATCTACAGTAAGGGTTAACAGTGTATATATAAGTTTTTGTTCAAAAGTAAATAAAATCACAGAAATAATAATTTCAGGCAGTTACTGAAGATAAAAGTGTCTTTCTCAGCTAGTACCATCAAAAGTCAAGCACATTCACAAATGACATCACTGCAAAAAATACTTTTCTTACTTGGATTTTTTTGTCTTGTTTCTAGTCCAAATATCTAACAACCCTTAAATCAAGAAGAATTTTCTAGACAAGCAAAACATTTTATCTTGTTTTCAGAAATAATATGCCAAAATGAAGCAAGTTTTTCCTTGACCCTTTGATGCACTATAAATGGGTCTAAAGTGTCCCGTCTAAGCTTATTTTTTCTATATCTATTTTATAGCTTGTGCATCAAAGGTTTAAAACAAGCAAAATAATCTGCCAAAGGTGTAAGAAAAATAATCTTAATTCAAATAATCATAACAATCCTAGATTTTTATTTAACACCATCTCTAAATTAGCAAATAATCGGTCATCCTTGGAACAAACTACTCCACCGCAAATTAGTAGTGATGACTTCATGAAATTTTTCAGTAATAAAATAGAAGGCTTTAGACAGAAAATAGGAGATGCCAAACTTTCTGCACCGGCTTATACTCCAAATCCTGTAAATATTTCATTAAATCATAATAATAACCTACACTGCTTCAAAATCATAGAACATGAAGAGTTAGTAAAAATTATAAATAGTTCTAAACCAGCTACGTGTATGCTGGACTCAATTCCAACAAAATTACTGAAAGAGCTGCTACCTGCTATAGGAGAACCTCTTCTTAACATTATCAACTCTTCTTTATCTATAGGCCATGTTCCAAACTCTTACAAGCTAGCTGTTATTAAGCCTATTATTAAGAAACTGCAACTAGACACCAACAACTTAGCTAACTATAGGCCTATTTCAAATCTTCCATTTATGTCTAAAATACTAGAAAAAGTTATTTCCACTCAATTATGCTCTTTTCTGCAGACAAACAATATTTTTGAAGTGTTTCAGTCAGGTTTCAGGGCTCACCACAGTACAGAAACCGCCTTAGTGAAAATAACCAATGATTTACTCTTAGCTGCTGACCGAGGGTGCGTCTCGCTATTAGTTTTACTCGATCTTAGTGCGGCATTTGATACCATTGACCACAATATCCTCATAAATCGCTTAAAGTCTACAGGTGTCCAGGGACAGGCTCTACAATGGTTTAAGTCATACTTAACTGACCGCTACCAGTTTGTGAATATTAATAGACTGCCTTCACAAGTCAGCCCAGTAAAGTATGGGGTGCCTCAAGGATCAGTTTTAGGCCCTTTATTGTTTACAATTTACATGCTACCTCTGGGAGACATTATTAGAAAACATGGGATCAGCTTTCACTGCTATGCAGATGATACTCAATTATATATTTCAACTAAACCTGACGAGACGTCTGAACTTTCTAAACTAACTGAGTGTATCAAAGACATCAAAGACTGGATGACCAACAATTTTCTTCTCTTAAACTCCGACAAAACAGAATTATTACTTATTGGGCCTAAATCTCGCACACAGCAGATCTCGCAACTCAATTTACAATTAGAGGGATACAAAGTTAGCTTTAGCTCTACTATAAAAGATCTGGGTGTCATATTAGACAGCAATCTAACTTTTAAAAACCATATATCCCATGTCACAAAAACTGCCTTCTTTCATCTGAGAAATATCGCTAAATTACGAAATATGCTATCCATCTCAGATGCAGAAAAGCTAGTCCATGCTTTTATGACTTCGAGGCTGGATTACTGTAATGCTCTATTTGCTGGCTGCCCAGCATCCTCTATTAACAAACTTCAATTAGTACAAAATGCAGCAGCCAGAGTTCTGACCAGGTCTAGAAAATATGATCATATCACCCCAATTTTATCCTCCTTACACTGGCTGCCTGTTAAATTTCGTATTGAATTTAAAATATTACTTCTCACCTATAAAGCTCTAAATAATCTAGCTCCTGTTTATCTAACCAACCTTCTGTCTCGCTACAAACCAACTCGCTCTTTAAGATCTCAAAATTCAGGGCTTCTGGTAGTACCTAGAATAGCAAAATCAAGTAAAGGAGGTCGAGCCTTCTCTTTCATGGCTCCTACACTCTGGAATAGCCTTCCTGATAACGTCCGAGGCTCAGACACACTCTCCCAGTTCAAAACTAGATTAAAGACCTATCTGTTTAGTAAAGCATACACTCAATGCATCACCTAGCGGGTTCCACACTGGCTTCTGCATCTTGCTTATATACACTATGAACAGCAGCTCCGCTAATTATTTTCTTTATTCTCTATTTTCACCTGGGGATACTCATCCCGAGGTCCTCAGATTATGCAGAGTCACTGATTGGATCCAAGACCAGCGACGTGATGATCCCAAGGATTCCATATCCGGGACCAGGCCATATCCTGAGCTGCTGCTGCGCTGATGGTCGTGGGGAGTGGAGAACATGAGTCTGATTCCAGCAACGCTCCAGGGACAGACGAGTCTTCACTGAGGCCATCTTCCAGCCTAAACCACGGCGAATGAAGTTCTGCACAAGACTTTTGGCCAGCGGAGAAATTAAAATGGTCGTGCCCAACTGAGTCTGGTTCTCTCAAGGTTTTTTTTCTTCACTCCCATCAGGTGAAGTTTTTTTTTCCCTCTCCGCTGTCGCCACTGCCTCGCATGGTTCAGGATTGGTAGAGCTACACATCGATGAATTGGCTCTTCAGTGTTTGAACTCTCAGTAATGATTAAATCACACTGAACTGAGCTAAACTGAACTGAACTGAACTTAAACAGTAAAACCTGAACCACATTGTTCAAGTTACTGAACCACACTGTTCCAGTTACTATGACCTTTTATGTGAAGCTGCTTTGACACAATCTACATTGTAAAAGCGCTATACAAATAAAGCTGAATTGAATTGAATTGAAAATGAAAAAAAAAAAGATTATTTTTCATACCCCAATGGCAGATTATGTAACTTGTTTTAAACGAAAAAAATAAATAAATAAAAATCACTTAATATTGGCATATTATTTCTAAAAACAAGACATTATGATTTGCATACCTAGAAAATGCTTCTTGATAAATGAATTTTTAGATATTTGGACTAAAAACAAGACAAATAAATCTAAGTGAGAAAAGCATTTTTGAAGTGCAGGCAGATATCCAGAACATAATCATGCACAACAAAAGCAAATTAAGTTTTACCATATTCCTCCAGGGTACTGATCTTCTGGAGACCCTGGCTGTTAGGGAATAGAATAGAATAGAATAGGGAACTTAGACATTGAAGTGTATGTTTACATATTCATCATCATACTATTGATATAGTAGTAATAAGGTAACTGATAAGCAAAATAAAATTGCACAAGCCATTTTAGGCCAATGGAAGGGCTGTTTATCTATTTGGACTTATGTTTCGAAAAACTGCTGAAGACCACTAGAGTAATAATAAGAATTGTGATTAAATAAAATTGCTTAATAAACTGCTCCTCTTGAATGCCATTGATTTTAGCTTTACTTCTGGCATTACAAGATAATATCAACAACATAATATCAGTGCATTCTTTAATGCATCCTGAAGTCATGTTTGTTCTTGTGCTGTACACCTTGTCAGTTTAGTTTAGTCTAGCTGGAGCTGCATTCATTCTTGTTCTGTGTCACATGGCTTGTCCTTTTCTCTGTGTTGAATTTGTTAGCTTAACCTTCTGTTGTAATAACATCTCATCAAATGAAACAATGGATGACCATGCTACAACCTGGCTTACTGAGCAAAAGATGATTTTCTACTGAAGCTCTTTTGTAAATGGGATTATTAAAGGTGCATTATGTAAGTTTGAATTAGCTCACCTCAATTGAACTTTAGAACTGTGACAACTGTGAACTTGTGCAAGCCAACACATATCAGTGGTTTATTATATACATTTAAATAATGTTAAAAATGTTCAATATATATTAATTAGGTTATAAACCTTACCATTTTCTTTGAAGTGCAGTAAGTGCACTATTCTGTGCTTCTGAATGACTGTTTTTAAATTTCTGTTGTGTTTCGTCTGGTGCAAACAACCAAATCGCTTATCACTGCGTATCTTCTTACCTAGCATGTTGTTAGGACTCACCTAATGTTTATGTTTGTATTATTTATATAATTTGCTCATTAATATCCAGCTCATGTGGAACTCTAAATCTATGTCTCATTTCAGAGTCTGCTACATACCAGTCAACATCGGGAAGTGAAAATAAGGTATTTGCCCACCATAATAAGGGATTTCCCCGAATGTATTTATTTATATATTTAGATTTTTTTCATTTGATTACATTAAATAACAGCTGCCACTTTAAAAATGCACAGATCTAACATTATAATGCAAGCATTCGATTGCTTTCCTAACTTTTTATGCTCATTTGGGAAGGAATTAGTTTGAAAAATAAAAACCAACCAAGATCGACATCTTTAGATATTATTATTATTATTAATTATGTGTATATGTCTGTTTAAACCAGGGGTCACCAATCTCGGTCCTGGAGGGCTGGTGTCCCTGCAGGGTTTAGCTCCAACTTGCCTTAACACACCTGCCTGGATGTTTCAAGTACACCAAGTAAGACCTTGATTAGCTTGTTAAGGTGTTTTTGATTAAGGTTGGAGCTAAAATCTGCAGGACAGCGGCCCTCTAGAAACAAGTTTGGTTTAAACACACACCTAAACCCTGGGCTTTCACTTTGCTTCAAACTGCGTGTACAGAATGCGTTTGGGAAAAAGCGCCTGTTTATCACTATGGAGCACGTCAGCTGACAGTCATGCATTTTGAGGATTTCATATGAAGGGGAGACGGAACCTGTAGTGAAAAGGAGAGAGAATCCTTCCGTTGTGATATTTATTTCAAAGTGTTTTCATGCCTAATCAAAGTGAAAGCACCGAACAAACTCACATTTAAGAGTGAGGGGTGGCCCCTAGTGGTTCGGCGGTATGCGTTGCGTATAGGGAAGCTCAGGTCTTTAATGTTTATTGCCACCCTTCAGAGAAAGACTGAAAATATGGCAGAAATACGGGAAAATACCTATACGGGATGATAGCGGGATAAAACTGTAAAATACGGGAGAATCCCGGGTAAAGCGGGAGGGTTAACAGGTATGGTCTGCTACTTTGAGAGCCTTCATGACTGAATGAATGAAATGGCAACCCAGGGAGCTGAAATATAATTGGCAAAACTGGCATTGGGTGGGTTAAATTACGCCACCCTCCCCCCCCCCCCTCCCTCAAAAAAAAAAAAAAAAAGACAGACATTCCGGCATGTAATGGACATTTTCAAAGCAAAATATGACTTCAGCATTGTTTTTCAGATAAAAAAGATTGTTTACTTAGGATGTTTCTTAAATATCTACAAACATATTAGATATATTTGAAACATTAAACAGAATGTAAATATTTTTCAATTATCTAATGATTTGATGATAAAATGATTCATCATAACATTTTCCTCAAATTTTAATATTAGTTTGTTAGAGTAACTCTAACCCTTTTTTATTGAGATAATCTTTAACATCAAAACTCAACATTATCAAAACTAATTTCAATAAAGTAAATTATTATAAATAAGTATTATTATAAAACAAATGGTCAAAAAGAGTTTATTATGGGAAAACCAATTATCCAATTACAGCAATATAGGCAAATCGTTTGAATGGGTATTAGTGGACTGTGTTGGATCACTTCCGTGTATGAAAACGGGATATCAGTATCTTTTGACTTTAATGTATTCGGCCACACGCTTCCCAGAGGTGGTCCAGTTGTGTAAAATTACAGCGAATATAGTTAATAAAGCCCTGTTCAAATTTTTTACTACATGTGGACTTCCCAAAATAGTTCAGATTGACCAAGGATCTAATTTTCTTTCAAAGGTTTTCCAAAAAACATTACTGGGTTTGGGTATTTTGTGTGTTGTATCTACCGCATACCACCCAGAGTCCCAGGGGACTCTGCAACACTGGCATCACACTCTGAAATCTACATTACCAAAATACTGCTTTGAAACCAAGAATGATTGGCATGATGGTGTTCCATTTGTGCTCGTTGCTCTTCATGATGCGAAGCAGAAATCTTTGGGATTTAGCCCTGTAGAATTTTTTGCCATGATGTACAGGTTCTTTAAAGGTTTTAAGAGATCAGATTCTTGTAGTGATCTCGTACCGAAAAGTAATGTTTTCAAGTAAACATTAAGCTACTGCAAAGGTGGTACTTAGTCACTTACAAGAAAAGATTAAGTGGCGGTATGATAAGAGAGCAGTGCCGTAAACCTTTAAGCTGAGTAAAAAGGTCTTGGCATTACTGCCTTTACCAGATTCCTCTCTTGCAGTGTAGTTTTTGGGGGCCTTATATAGTGAGAAGTCAAGTAAGCGAAACTGACTACATCATTAACACTTTAGACGGTCGGAGGAAAACGATGTGAATATATTAAAAACATATTCTGAGAGATCCAGTAAACCTGCAGAAACTAATGTTTCAGAGGAGTAAAAGATCTTATTTATAGTGCATTCACTATTCATCTTTCTGTCATTATCACTTTTTCTGCAAAGACCATTAATATGACCTTTCCACATGTTACAGCTGAATCTTTAAATCAACAGTCATCATCATTATGATTAGTTTTCCTACATCACTTGCATTTATTAGCAGTCTTACTTTTGACCAATGAGAATGCATTTACCATCACTGATCCACTGGTTTGGTGCACTTTCCGAGCTGCTGTTTTCATGAAAGCCGCCAGTTACACCACTCTTTGAAATGTTACCATATTCTCAGTGAGCAGACACTTTTGTGTAACCTTACTCTTTAAACCACAAAAAAATCTTTCACAGTGCATCATCTAAATGTGCCCCAAATTCTCAACATTCTGACAGTCCACAACATTGTGTTACCATTTTGTTCACTTCCTGATTCCTGCTGTGGAAATGAAATTGCTCAGACATGACTAGTGGCTGTAATTGTTGCTGTAGCGTAGCTGTGATATGCTTGAAACTTTTCTCTCCTAGCTTGTGAATGAGTCAATAAGTCTTTCCCCCCAGTAATGCTGAGTAACATAGGTACTTTTTTGTCAGCAGCGATGATGTTATAATCTACAAAATGCATCATTAAAAGCTTCCATACAGCAAAAAGCAAACACCATTGTAGATAACCTAATTCATTGTAGCTACAGGGAAGGAAAGTAAAAAAATAAATCCTAGTGTGCCTAGTTTTTCATGGCTGATTGTGGTAGATCCATGGTCATTTTTTTTTTTCATCCTCATCACCAAAATGTTATTTGTCAATGTCAAAACACAGTGTAAGAACAGATGAAATGATGGCAGCCAACATTTACAGATAACAATGTTTTAAAATATTGTAAACCAGTGGTCTAAAAACTCAATTCAGCTCTGAAGATTTAAGTTCCAACTACCTCAAACTCACACCTGCTTAACAGTCTCTAGTACTCTAGGGTTTTAATTAGGGTTGGAGCAAAACTGTGCAGAGCTGTGGCCCTCCAGGAATCGAGTTTGAGACCTATGCTGTAAACAGAAGATTATAAGGCTATGTATTTTGTGCTGATGTATGGTATTTCTAAATGGTAATTAAGTGTTGCAATAGAAAAAAAAAAAAAAAAAACGTGACCACAGAACCGTGATATAAACTGACAGTTTTGTGAACTGTCCCATCCCTAGTATGAATACAATTTATAGTATTTCAAACAGACCATTGTTTTATATTGAATTGCACAGAAACTTTGAAAAGCAAATAAATGAAACCTCAAATAAATGAAAAAGATAATACCTGTGCAGGCTGTGAACTGAAGGAATTTTCGAGATGAAAAACTGAAGCTGCATTATCAGCACCCAGCAATCTTCTGGCCATCCGTTCCTCATAAGAAATCTTCTGCTGTGGGGGAAAATGATTTCTTAAATGTTCAGTACAGAACTTTATTACCAATAAACAGACAACAAATTTAGACAAATTTGTTTTATACCTGATTGTTTCTTTGTTGGGGAACTTTGTTTCGTAGCTTCTGTTCAAGGTCTTGCATAAGAGCATCTTTAGAGCCCTGAATGTCTTCATCTGTGGCACGAGACACTGGTCGTGAAACATTCTTCTTCAAGATTGGTTTTGGCAACCTATGAAACAGATTTTAAAAACAAATTTTAAGCATCAGTTTTCCAGGCATTTAACTGCAGAATGC